CGCCCATGCTGGTGATGAGTGCCAGCTGCACCNGGCTGAAGACAAACCATGAACCATGTACCTTGATGCTCTGAGAAGATGATTAGCTATTATGGAATTGTCCAATGTGTGCTGTTATGTGGAATGACTTTTTTTTGGCGTGTGTTTTATGTCAATGATTCTGCAACGTCTTGAAGCCCAACTTGAAACCCAACTTGAAACTCTCTACAAGATTGAGCCACGCTCCCTCCTGGTCTCTTGTCACCAGGCTGGCTTGTTCCTTTTTTTTAACGTTTGTGCAACCGGAAGAGAAAGCTTTCAACTGTTTTCTTGCATCAGGGCACAAACTCTTGTGCTTTTAGTCTCTGCCCGTACCTGATCAGGTTGGAAAAGATAATGTCGGCAGCAGCAGAAGTCTGCATGCCTGGGGCTGCAGGATAGTAAAATGATCTTCGGGCGTGCTCTAGTGCTGCCTGCCGCCTCTCAATTGCCTCGTTGGGCATGCCCCTGCAGGCCGTCCACAAAAATGCAGGTGGGTCCCAGGCTGACAAAAATATGACAATCTGACATCCGCAATGGCATTCGCTCATTGTGCCCAGCAACCCTACCGCAAGTAGGCCAATGCCGCCTCCATACTGGCTACTGACACGGTTGCCCACTTCACATCAGCAGACTGATCCCACTGTATCAGCGGCGCCTTGCAAATAGTGATGTTTGGGTCCAACCAAACGGCTTCCTTGATTGCCAGGAAAATGGAAAATGAGGCCCAGTCAACCTCGCCATGGTTAAAGGGCAACTCATGCCAAGGAGCGCCAACAAACTGCAGCACAGCATTTCAGGGTAAACTCCGTAAATGCCAATGGCCAGCTGATGCCAGATGGGTGGCCAGCTTTCAACGCAAGATATCCAGCGCCTACCACTGGAATACAGCCAGCCAAAAGCACTTCTGTCAGACGGCCAGTGCTTGGCAGGTCGCCAGGTGTCATTATGCAAAACACCGAACGCCGCATTTCCCGTTGAGTGCCCGCGTGTGATGCAGACTCTGTGCGATCGACATCAGGGCCACCGGCGCACGCCACCTGCACCAAAGGCTCAGACGAGAATCTTTGGCAGCTGCCTGTGATAACAGTGCGTGCATGCAGGTTGCGGCAGCGACCGGGTCCAGCAGTTTAGGTGCAAGGACTCGGGCCAATGCTGAAGCCACAAACTACCTCGATGTCTGAAGCCTTGCCGCCAAACGCGGATACGACAGCCTGACGCATCACTTTTCCGCAAAAAGCAGTTTCTTGTGCACCACAAGTGGCCTTCATGTACACAAATGTTGGGCGGCGGGATCCGACAACCGGGGATGACAGGTCGACATCGGCAACTGCAGAGGCGGAATGATAGGACTAGGTGCAGGGTTGACATTGCCATCTGTGATGGCGAAACTGATGAAGCCTTGCCTGCATTGTAGGGCACCAGTTGCGCCTCCCTCAACAGCACCTTTGGCCGGCCTTTATTGGCGCAGCTGAGTGCCCGTTCCTTGATGAGCGTGTGCGCGTACAGCAGGTCTGTGCACATCAGGCGGGTAAATGCCCTGCCAGGGTTGGGCAATGGCACGTGGATCACATAGTCGCGTCCTTGGCGTTTCTGCACATTGCATGGGAAACGAGATCCCCGCGGCATTCAACCTACAAAAATGATTTGACCTGTAGAAACAACCCCCATGCATTTGTGGACACTTGCCTTGAAGCGCGGGGAAGCGATGATGTGCTCCCACGCCTGAAGCAGGACTTTTTCAATGTTCCTGTCCCCTGCCGAGTATCCTGCAAAAAGCTCCATTCCTTTACGTCTCGTGATGGCCCGATACACCAGGAACCACTGCAGAATGGAGGCAAGCAGGTTGGCGAGCGCAGCGCCGAAACCTGGTCATACAAACAATACGCAGCAGCACACAGTGCTCTGCACGTTCCAGCAATGTACGTTACAAACTGAGGAACTTGCCTGGTTGTAGCAGTACATGTCCACCCAAACTAGGCACGCTTCATCGATATTGTCAGTGAGGACGCCGCTGGCATTGCGCAGTGCCTGGGTCAGCCAGTACTGCCCAGCATGCACATAGTTCATGTGCGGCATCGACTCCATGCGCTGCAGGTCCCAGGGCAGCTCCCCCGGCTCGGCAAGAGGCCAAACCTGCAGAGAATACGCAATTTAATGCACTGGGGAGCTAGGCACATGACGCCAGCGCCAAAAAACCAGGTCACGGTGGCAGGGCCAGCGGACCCAGAGCAGGCGTGTATTGTGAGATGTGGGATTAAGCAACCCAGCTCGCCAGGTCCTCCCCCACCTTTGGGTCGTTGATATCGCACTGCGGCAGGCCTGCGGCAGGCGCTACTGTCTCCGAAACGTCCAAAATGTAGACTTTGCAGTCGCGCGTCGTCTGCCAGGGGGGTGGCCCAAGATGCTGCTGCATGCGGGGCAGAGCGGGGGCTGCTGTACTCTGTCCTTTCAAACTGGCTTGAAATCCACAGTTTGTCAATCGCTGGATCTGCCATTAACTGGACCTTCATGACCAGCAGCAGCGCCAGCACAACTCCTTTGCACGTGTTCCGCAACCGCCTGCAACCGCGCCACAACCGCCGCCTCACCCGGTCTAGTGCCTGCACGTCGGGCGCCCGTTGGCATCCACGGGGTGCCCTGAACCCCAATCTGTACACTCCCAGCAGTAAAAGTCCTGGGAAGAGGTGCGCAGCACGGCAGGGAGCAAAGTGACAGGTCCGCCAGAAGTCGCGCCGGCATTGCGCGCACGCTCGTTCTACCTAGTGCCAACAATCCGCGAACGGGAAGCCTTGTCCGTCCCCGTTGAACAAGCTTGTCCGTCCCCGACATGGGCGCCTCTCGAGACCGGCTCACGCGCGCTCAGGCAGAATTTTCGTAGTTTCGGCAACTCACGCGTCATTGCCGCGCGCTTGAGCACGTCCAGCGAGCCGTGCATGACGGCATCTATGCGGGTCAGCACCATCAGCGAGGCAATCTCATAAATGATGCGGTGCATGCCCAACCGCAGCGCGATGGCGACGTCCTCGGCCGGCACCTCCAGCGAGCTCATGAAGATGAGGCAGAGTGGGGTCAGGATGACCATGCCCCCAAAGTTGAGGTCCACCGCTGTGTCCAGCGCCAGGCGCACCGAGTTGGGCCCCGCCTTGCCCACCGCTGCCAGTTGGGTCTGCCGCAGCACAGTGTGCTGTTTGACCATGACGTTCCGTAGTGGCAGCGACAGGTTGGTCACCATGCACATCAGCACGGCTGTCAAGCTGTGAGGGGGGGGGGGGGGGGGGGCGGGGAAAATAAGCATGTAGTGTGTGGCGCGACGGAGGGGAGGGGCCCAGAAAAGCCACCTGTACAAAAGGTGGTGGGCACTGCAAATGCGCAAAGACGCACAACAAGCATGCCCTCATGGATCAGCTACTTTGCCCTCACTTGAATCCAGGCGTGTTCCAGCTGGACAGGGTTGCACTACCGACAAGCAGCATCACCTGCAGGCAGCGGAGCCAAGCTCTTGCTTGTGCATTGCCAGCCGCGTTAATCCGTGGGTGCACATGACCAGACCATGGACTCCCCTGGCCAAGCGATGCTAACAGCAAGCTGAGCCCCCGCCCAACGCACCGCAGCCACTGCCGAGTAGGGGAATACGGCGCTCAGGTAGCACATGGAGAAGATTGTTGTGAAAATGGGCGCCAGGCTCTTGAACACCTGAACCCAGCAACGCAGGTAGCCAGCAACTGAGCACGTGGCCAGGAACAGGCACCAAGCGGCGGCCATCAGCAACCAAGCGCGATGAGCCTGCACAATCATTCCAAAGATGCATCCAGGCAGAGGTGTAAGCCTGCTCACCTGGACGACCGGCACGCTGCCGGCGATGAACGCCAGGCAGGTAAAGCTCATGCCCAGGGTGTGCACGGCTACTGTCGTCAGATGGTTGCTAGCCACCGCAGCTTGCTCCGCATCCAGCTGGTGGTCGTTGTGGTGCTTGATGGCGGCCTCCTCATCTCGTCGAGGGCTGCCCATGCCGTCACACTCTGCCTTTTTGGTGAAGACATGAGTGTAGGCGAGGCGGACAGCCCATGACACCGCCCACCCCACGGTGAACAGCACCCAGAGCAGGAACACGCACAGCTCCAGGTTCTGGAACCGGTTGCTGGTGCGCTTGAGCCCAAAGCCGAACTGGAAGTTGCTAAAGTACCAGACGCCCACCAGGAAGACCGTCCAGGAGAGGTCCAGAAGGGAGCCTTTGGGGTACAAAGCAGCGCTCATGGCAGCCGGCAGGCCCCCTGTCAACCGTTCCAGGCCTGCGCCACGTCGGCGGAGCGCGGGCGGGTGGTTGGGGGTGGCGGCCAGAGGCTGCTTCTGGACCCAATGCTGAAATCTCGCGGCCTGGGCCCGGTCCCCAACTGCAGCAGCAAACAAAGCGCACCTGTGAGCTCCAAGGAACGACCCGCGTGCACCAGCCCATTCGCCGAGTGCTGCTCAGCTTGGCCGGTCTTGCCGGGCTGCTGAACCATTGAGAGTTACTGGCTTTGCCGGTCCATGCTGACCAGCGAGGCGGGTGGTTGTGAAGCAGGTGGGGTTGCCTGCGCCCGGGTAGCGACAGAAAGAGAGACACAAAAGGTGCGGACGATCAAGCAGCCTGTAACCGTCTGTTGCTGTTGAGAGGTGAGGGTGTGACGTTGCAAGCCTAGCTGGCACTCATCAAAACACAAACAACAAAATTGATGCAGGGCGTCAGACTCAATAATAAGAGTCTTGCCAGGGATGTCCACTCGCAATTGTAGCTTTACCAGGCAAGTCATTGAGGCGGCGCCGTTCCGCTGGCGCTGGCGCACATTTCAAACGGGCAAGGTTGGAAGTTGCCCTGGTGTTTCATCTTTGTCGCCTTCACTTCCATACCACCCAGCAGCATGTTGGCTCCTCCACTACCTGCCGTTATGTACGCCGCCCTGAGCTTCGGTCCGGTTGGCTGCCTGCAGCTGCTCGTGTAAACCGTTTGGCACAGTGTTGCAGCTTACAGCATCAAAGACCCAACAGAGCACTGTCCTCCGCATAAAACTGCCGTATGCTGTCATAACAGTGTTCATTCGCCCCAGTGTAGAAGTCCAGCTTGTCGCACTTCAGCAGCCGCGCCTTGGCTCGTCCCTTCTTCGTCCCCATCAGCGTGCGGTTCAGGCAGGGGTCGACGTTATTCAGCTGGCCGGGGAGCTCCGATGGGATCTTGGGCACACCCGGCCGAGCATTCAGAATGGACAGCAGCTCCGCAAAGTCCTCGTAAAAGTTCTCCAGCCGCCCCAGCCAGTCCAGCGCGTACTGGCCCGTGGTGGTGGTGAGGCAGTTGGCCTGCGGCGAGACGTGCAGGTACTGGTGCTCCGGCGGCACCTGGGTGCAGCACGACGCCCCCGTGGAATCGTTCCTGGCACAGACGTCGCCGATGAGGTAGGGGTCCTGGCAGTACTCGCCCCACGCCATGTGGCACTCCTCCTTGAGAAAAGTGGCCAGGTACTTGTACTG